GGGAGGCTGAAGCAGGAGGATCGCTTGAGCCCAGGAGTTTGAGGTTGCTGTGAGCTAGGATGATGCCACGGCACTCACTCTAGCCCAGGCAACAGAGTGAGACTCTGTCTCAAAAAAAAAAAAGTGCCATTACATACCACCTTATTTTTCACTTATTCATATTCACTCTCTTCCTCCCCAAAGTTAAATTCTCAGAGACAAGTAGGCAAGAAGATTCAGCAGTAGCAATAACGAGACAAGCCACCTGGAAAACAGGTTAAGTATAGGGGGCTCAAATTCAAGGTCATTTAAACAACCTCAGCTGAACAGAATAACACAAATCAAAAAGGTCAAGCAAGATGACCGATCACAATGCTGTCATTTGCAATACAGTCAAAGAAAATAAACTCACAGGTGTTGGTTAGCAGGCTCTTTGGGGAAGGCGGAGGAGAAAAAGACTTAAAGGAAAAATAAGTTTCCAAAGAAAATAAAGACTGGTGTTGAAAAATAAAAATGAGAGAGGCGATTCGGGTTACTGGAGAAAACTGCTTCAAGAAATTGGTACTATCTCCGAGTCCTCTGCAACACTATAAATCTCTTCATCTGGTGCTAAGTGCTGCTTTAACCATGTAATCCATCCGGCCCTCCGCCCCAAAATTCTGCGTACAAAAATTTTAGATACGTTTGGGGGCAAAGAGTAAACACTGTCCGCTCGGTGGTAACGGCGACCACGGCGAGGGAAGCTCCACACTCCACAGCGCGCAACCCCACCAAGCCGCTCCTCCAAAGTTGCCACCGCCCCGGCCGCGAGTCCCGGGACACCGACCCGCCACCTCGGGGCGCAGGGCCGGGTCCGAGAGCCCAGGCGCCAGCCCCCGCCCCTGCGCGCCGCCGCCGTCAATCAGCGCCCCAGCCCCCCGCCTGCGCGCAGGGGCGCGGCCCGCGGACCGCGACCGCGGCGCGTCGAGGGCTCCCCCCGACAGCCGCCAGCTCCGCCAAGCGGCGGGACAGCTACCCACAAAGCTGAAGGTGCCCGCGGCCGAGCCCGGCGCGCCCCGGTCCCGGGGACACGACCGACCCGGAGTCCGTGCGCAGCCGGGGCCGGGCCTCGGGTCCGTCTCGCTCACCTCTCGGGGTGCGCCGCCTTCCTCCGCCGCTGCCGCCGCCTCCTCCCTGTGAGTGCAGCGGGGTCTGCCCTGTGGAACCACCATACCAGTCCCGCCCGCTGCTGCAGCGCCGCCGCCGCCGCCGCTGCTCCGCCGCCTCAGCCGCCGCTCTTTGTTCCCCCTCCGAGCGCCCCCGCTTCAGCCGCCCGCCTCAGCCGCCTTGACGGGCTGCCGCTACGCCCTCCCGCCCTCTCGGCCTCCAGCCTCGCCCTCCTCTGTGCGCCCGCCGCCGCCTTCGCCCCCGCGCCGCCGCCGCCGCCGCCACCGACGCCGACGCCTCCTCCTCCGCGCCCCCTTCGTTTTCATTGAAAGCAAACAAGCATCATGGCGGCGGCCGCCGTCCCCCAGCCAGCGAGCGCCCCGACCGCCGCCGCCGCTCCAACATCCGGGCCGCCCATTGGCCGCCGCCGCCGGGCGCGACCATCCGGCGTCCGGCGGGGGAGCCCAGGCCCCGCCCCCTCACCCCCGCGCTGGGCAGCGGTGAGACGGCCCGGCGCGCTCCCGGTCCGCCTCCCGCCGTCCTGCCCGCCCCCGCCCTGGCTTCCCGCGCGCCCCGCTCCTCGCCTACCTGGGCGCTTCTGTTTTCTCCTCTTCTTGGCCCTCCTGCGTTTTCATTAGCTCTTTTTTTGCCTCGGGCTTCTCCTGTTATCTCCTTTTTCCTTGATCTTCCTCCTCTTCCTTTCTCCTCTTTCCTCAGGCCTTCGCCGGCCAGTCACCTGGACACACGGGCCAGCTCTCACTTTGGCCCTCGGCTGGTATCTGGAGCCGCCTAGAGACAGGGCGTTCAGGCCGGGCGCGGTGGCGCGCACCTGTAGTCCCAGCGACTCGGGAGGCCGAGGCAGGAGGATCGCTTGAGCCCAGGAGAGGCTGACACCACGGCACTCTAGCCTGGGCAACACAGTGAGACTCTGCCTCAAAAAAAAAAAAAAAAAAAAAGACAAAACATTCAATCGTAAACAGTCGGATAATTTTTCCTGCCTCAGTTACACAGAAAAAAATAAGTTAATGGCCCATTTCAGTCCCTTCATGGTAATTCAGCCCAGTAAATTAATGGACGATTTTGGTGGTGGGGTCCTAGCCTGAGTAACGGACACGGCGTTCAAAGATCAAGCTGTTCTTCCCAATTTTGTCATTGGGAGAAATAACAAAAACAATAAATAAATAAATAAATGCCAAGATGTTCAATTCAGGACAAACTGTGGTGATTGGAGATGAGCAGAGAAATGACTGGGCTGATTCCTGACGCTGACATCAGGAAGTATCAGTTGACTGGTGGTCAGGGCACAGAATCGATCAGACCCCACCCTGCCCTGAGTAAGTTCACAGTCTAGGGGCAAGGGTAACACCCGACAGACTGTCAACGTCCACCGGGGATTACACTGAAGGGTATGGCTGGAAGGAAAAGAACTAGCTACCCACCATCTATGTAGCAAACTAGGATGAGCTATTGGCTCCTTCCCTGAAAATCAACCCTGAAGAAATGAGAGAGAAATGGGTTCCAGGGACTAATAATAAGCAATAAAATGAGACACATACGCTCACTGGAGGCTGTCTGGAGCTGGGGGTGTGAGAAGTGAGTGGCTGTTGCCTGGGACAGAGGAGAGCTGGAAAGGCAAGAACAGATGAGGGACAAGCTGTTCAAAGATCAGGATGTTCTAGCCAGGGCAAGAGCTCTGTGCTTGCCTCTCCCCAGCATGGCCTTGGGATGGTCATTGCCTGCCATTTGCCACGGCATCAGCAGTGACAGCCCAGGCCTCTAGTGCCACAGGACACTGGACAAAGGCAGGGCAACAAAAAAGCCCAGCAGTTAACAAGTGCAGACTATAGGCATCCCTCCACTGCCTCCAGCCCTAGGCTGCTGGAGTCGTGCAGCCCTGTGCTGTAGAGCGTGCCAGGCTAAGGGGGCAGCGCCGACATCCAGCTGGGCCTCTCCTCCCCGTGTGAGTGCCGTGCCCTGGCCCTCTGTGCTCCAACCTGGGGAAAGGAGTGCCTTTCTGTAATTCCTCTGCCCAGAGGGAGCCGCTTTTTTGTGACTGGCACAATGTGGGAAGTCTGGTTGCATAACAAAAAACTTGGTAGCATAAACAACAACAATTTTATTATGTTTCGTGGTGTGGCTGCTCAGCTGGACAGTCCTACTGGTCTCGCTTGGGGTCTCATGCCTGTGCCTCAAGTGATGGCTGGGTGTTGGACATTTGGCACCTCAGTGCCCCTCACGAAGTCTCTCTGTGCAGTGTCTCATCCTCCAGGCTTTCTGTGCAGCCTCTCTCTCCAGCAGATTAGCCGGGACTTCTTACGTGGCAACCCAGAGCTCCGAGAGGGAGGAAGTGGAGGCTAACAGGCCTTCCAAAGAATGTTACTTCCTTGTATTCTTTCCCTCAAAGCAGGCACAAGCCCAATCCAGATTCAAGAGGAGAGGACATAGCAATGGAGGAGCTGCACACACACACAGGGAGGGGTCTTGTTTGCAGCCGTCTCAGCAGACTAGCTGCCACCTGCAACTCGCTAACAGTGGCTCTGCCTGGGCATGTCCTGTTCTTTCTGCATATCTGAAGAGAATCCTGCAAAATGTCTGCTCACCTTTTCAGAGCCAGATCAAAGTGACCCTCATGTTAGGCAAGACCTCCCAGTGCAAGTTATAAAACTCGAATTCAGTAGGCTTACGCAAAAAAGAGGTAATTTATCTATTCAGGTGTCACATAACTGAAACATTCAGACATCGTAAGATGGCATCAAGAATCGATCTCACTCCCGCACCCTCCACTCTGCTCTCCTCTCTACTGGCCTTTTTGCAGGTGCAGGCTTGAATTCCACCAGCTTCTCCACTTAGGTACAGAGAGGACTTCTTTCCTAATAGTTTCAGCAAAAAACCCAGCGCAGGCTCTCCTTGACCTGGCCTGGGCGCTGTCTCTACTCCTGTAGCTCGGCATGAGGTCCACCCCATGCGAACCCATGTATTGAGAGTCGGGGAAGGGATATTCTTCAAGGACACCTGGCCCTCCTCTGTGAAGGCTTCCCTGACATTGTTAGTCACAATTTCCTCCAGGTTCCCCAGCCCTGTTCCCCTCCTAACCACACTTACCAGACAACATGGTTATTTGTTTTTCTGCCTCCCCTGCCAGGCTATGAGCTGCTGGCTCTGACTCCTGTTTCTGTCCCTGCGCCAACTGGGGTTGCTTTTGAGTCTTGCAGGCTTTCTTATGTTCCTTCTTTATTAAGAGAATCTTGCCCCTCAGCCCGGGACGGGGGTGGGCGTGTGACCCAAGCAGGACCAACTTGGGATTGATCTGTGCTAAGCTAGGACCTTATGCAGTGGTGGCAGCCAGCACCGTCTTCCCAACCATCTGGATTAATGAGACAGTGATGAAGATGTGGAGTCTCAATGCCAGCTGCTGACGGCCTAATTTTGGTAGTTTTTCCTCTTAGCCTGTGACCTTTCCCAGAACCTACCCCAGGTATATGAGTCCATAAATTATCATTATTATTATTAATATTTTACTTACTTAGTTTGACTTGGGCTTCTGTCATTTACAATCAAAATAATGCTAATTTGATTCAGTAAATGTGTTGCATAGATGGATGGGCGGATGAATAACGAAGGTGAACACCCAGGTGACAGCTATGCTCAGTGATGTAGCTGTGGTGTGTTACTTCCATGTCCTCCTCTTCTTAACCCTCCTCCATTTTCATCTAGCTCTTTTGTTGCCTCGGGTTGCTCACTGTTATCTCCTCTCCTCCATCTTTCCTTGATGTTCCTCCCCTTCGTTTCTCCTCTTCCTTTTCCTTAGGCCTCTGCCTGTCAGTCACGTGGGCATACAGACCAGCTCTCTGACTTTTTTGTTTTCTCTTTTTTTTTTTTTTTAGAGATGGGGTCTCACTCTTGTTCAAGCTGATCTCAAACTCCTGAGCTCAAGGGATACTCTGGCCTCGGCCTCCCAGAGTGCTAGGATTATAGGTGTGAGCCATCTCACCCAGCCTACAGCTCTCAGACTTCTGATCTTAGCCAGTATGTCTGCCTGAAGACAAGACATTCAGTCGTGAACAGTCCAGTGAATAATTCTTCCTGCCCTAATCACGCAGCCTGGGAGACCTGCATGGACTGAGCCCAGCCAGGCCATGGGGCGGGGCTGCCCAAGGCTTTGGGGCCCAAACTCTGGAGTCAAAGGAGACAATTCTTCTTTGAATTTTGGCTCTTCCGAACTTCTCTCTGTGTTTCACTCTGGGATTGCGATCAATCTTCTTTCTCCTAGGAGTAAGTCCCCTATTTTTAGCAATCTGATAGGTAATGGCTCTCTTTGCATTTTGATCTTCAAGAGCCTGTTCTTCAGTGCTATTTTCTTCTTTCTTCTTCTAGAACTTTTGTTTGTCTTCTATTTCCTTACGGTATTTCAGTTGAGCTCCTTCATCAAAATCAGAATCATCAGAAAGATCTGTAACAGCAGAGGCAGCAGCAGAAGTATTTAAAACAGACTTTGGTTTTTGCCTTGGTGGATTTTGCCTTTGAATTGAGTCCTTTCGTTATACCACCATCCTTAAGTGTGAGTAGATGACAAATTTCTGAGGACAGCTTCTGATCCACAATCAACAGCTTGTTAATCAAATTTCGATAGGTAACAAGCCTTTCTATAACAGGAAGTCCATGTGCGGCGGGGGGGGGGGGCTCTCCTAGCTTTCAGGATCAAATAAAAACTGATGTTGGAGCAATAATTCAAGTAGAGGTTGTACCTGGTCTCAAGTATCGGCTTCCTTTGCCGGGTGGAATGATCCCTTGCTCCACCAACTGTAACAGCGGCTCCAACTCATCCCTCACCTCTGTCGACTTCAAGGTCTTCTATCAGCTCCAAGAGCTCTGGTGATTCCTTTCGCAACATTTTCAGCTTCTCTTTCGCTGAAACTTTAGCCAAATCCTTCACAACCCGTGTCTCAGCCTCATCTTCCTGAGGCACAGGTTTTGCAAATGCCTCCACCCACTCAACCCCAAAATCATCCTCTTGCAGGGCCTGGGCTAGGCGCCGCTGAATGACCTGTGCCGCCTCCTCCTCTT